GGGGGGGGGGGAGGGGGTAGAGGAAGGAGAACAAGTATTGCGTGCGTGGGGGACGGAGGACGGGGTCAATAATTTGCAGCGGTGTACAGATATTGCGGGGGACGAATGAGGGCGTTACACGTTCTGGGGGGGCCAATGAATTTGCAGAATTCGGCGGCGGGTTGGTTGGCGGCGTTGCGGGCCCGCGATGCGTTGGTTGCCGAAAGGGCAACGCAATAAGATGTGGCGACAGTGGAAGACGAGAGGGCGGGCGAGTGTAAGAGTGACGTGGAAAGTCGCTTAGCGATCGTGCCTCGGAGGCCGCTCGTGTCCTAGCTGACGCGCGTCCACGCCAGCGCCGCCACGCACCGCGCCGCTCACTCCTTGAGGAACGAGGCGGGCACCTTAGTTCACTTTCAAATAGTATCACACGGAGGCTTGCACACGCCTGTTGTCGTTAGTTTAATAAATACCGTGGTGTGCCTACCCCCGCAGCCCCCGCATATGTATCAGTCCTATCCACAAAGCCTACCACCCTCCACCGCCCGCGACCCACTCATCCCCCGTCCGCACTGGTGTGCGTCTTGTGGTACGCGGCGGCGATTCTCTCAGCGGCGAAGTCGAACATCTCTGCCGTCGTGCATCCGCAGAGCTCCTGGTCTACCAATTCGTAGCCCATCTGCGCATTCACAGCGTTACACATGGACCGCCACACCATGCGCCCGCGGTACGTCCAGGGGTGTTTGCGGAACACCGTGTTGTGCAGCTCGGGGAGCTTCTTCTCGAGCCCTGGGTAGCGCGACATTCTCTGCATGGCCGCGAGCGCCTCCTGCGTCGAGCACGCGTCCTGCCGCTTCTCCGTGAAGAAGCCCTCCTCGCGGAAGAGCGGCGCATACTGCTCGTGCGAGGCCAGGTCGCCCGACGACGCCTCGTTGTACGACAGCCGGTGAAAGATGGGGTAAATCACCACCTTCTCGTTCGCGTCCGACGTCTCGTTGCGCCTGAGAAACGTGCGCATCTCGTGCATCGTGTATCGCCGCGCGAAGAACTCGGGCGAGGTGATGAACACCCCGACGCGCGCCGTCTGGATCGCCTTCTCCATCAGCTCGTCGCCCGTCTCCGACGAGCAGATCAGCTCCAGACGGTCCACAAATGTCCGCAGACACTTGCGCTCCAGCGCCTCGGCCAGGTACACGGCCCACTCCTTGTCTGTCCCCGCGTGGCTGATGAACGCCGCGTACTGGTCGGGTACCCCCGTCCGCACCGCCCCAGGCTTGTTGGACGGCACGCTGATCGTCATCGCGTCGGTGTACCGGAACACGTTGGCGCAGTTTCCGTTGCGGCACAGCGCTGGCTTGCACAACCGCGACACGCTCTCTACGTCCAGATCCATCACGTCCCACCATGCCACTTCCACGTCCCCCTCCTCGGTTTGTCGGTGCTTGGCGAGCGACGGGATGTCGAACATGAGACGGAACTTCATCTTGTTGCAGCCCTTTGGGCAATCGGTCACAAAGTGGTGCCGGAACCCGCACATCTGCATGTTGATCCGCTCCCGCATGTGCGCCTCGAACACCGTCAGGCACCGCCCGAGCAGTTGAAAATTGTGCGAGTCGGCACGAACCTTCCAATGCAATTCGCGCGCCGTGTTGTCGAACCCCATGAACACTTGCGTCACGTCCGACCCCATCGTCAACAGAACTGCATTCGACCGCACATACTGCACGTCGGTATTCTCTGTTCCGATCGTCCGATACATGCGAGCAATCAACCTTCCGATCAGCCCAAACGGCACAAAGTTTTCAAACGTCGTCACCGCCGCCACCTCCTTTCGGTCTGATCCAGCTTCAATCCATCCCCACGTCTCCCATCCGCTTTTTAGCAACGCCGGCACGCCTAGTGTGTTCCGATCGAGTTTGACAAACAAATCCATACTCACGAGCAACTCCACTAGCACGTCGCGATCGCTCGCCTCCGAGAGCCCTTCCAATCCCCTCCACTTTTTCTCCAGGACCCTGTGAGTCAGCAGGCCGAGATGCATACGCTCCCGTTCCTTCCGGCCGAGCAGCCCTTCACACCGCACTCGTTTTGGGGCCACAATCACTTTTAACGCTTGTAATATCTTCTCCGGATGGATAAAGACGACAAAGTCTTCAGACGAGGCTGTCAATGTCAGGCGGGACAAATCAAACACCACAACTTCGCCCAAGTCACGAAAGTAGAGAAGCATCGCCTTGAGTTCCTTGATGCGATCGATATCCGTCGGTGGGAAATGAAGGCCACCCATGCGATCCATGATTTTGTCATGCTTGACAAAGATTCCCGGCAACATCTCATCCGTGCGGAGACTCTCGAGGAAAGCAAGCCACCGCAAAGGCACTTCTTTGCTGCGCTGGATGATCTTTTTCGCGACGGAATCCAGATGTGCCTCAATGGCCATGAGCCCAGATTTTTGCGGACTCTTCTTTGCCTTGCTATTCTCAATCGCAAAGCAAGGGATCTCGAACAAATTGAGACTCTTGGTCAATCCGGGGTCGAGCAATTCCGTCAGCTCTTCCTTCAACTTTTGAAAGTAATCGGGCACGTTTTCGGAATGCTTGCACATGTCCCTCCTTGTGCCAACGACGAGCAACGACTCTGCTGTGCTCTTCACGTCTTCCTCCGCGGTAATAGCGAACAGGATCTGAAACCAGTGGCACAATTCCCGCACCTCTGCGTCGCGCGTGTTGTCGTCTTCAAAACGACGGAGGTCGAAGACGAGCATCAAAATGGAACGCGGGGAGATAAACAATTCGTGGGCAATCTCGTACTCTGGCTGCCCTCCAAAATCCCAACATCGCAAAGTCAACCCCTGGACGTCGGATTGGTGAAACTCGGCGGAATTCATGGCATCATCAGCCAGTTGGATGGCGTTTGAACTTGTATTCTCCTCCTCCTCATACTCTTCCTCCCCTACAAGGGACCCCTCATTCGAGCAAGGCGTGCAGTCGGAACCAAGCTCCGTGCTCTCGCTTTCCGGACTTGCCGACGACCATCCCCTCGACACGGCCGGGTCGGGTTCCGAGCCGGAATCGCGCATACGGCTCTCCACTTGAGAAGTGGATAAAGGCGGGGAGGGAACACGCGGGCGGCGGGCGGCCCGCGCATACTCGTAGAACTTTGTCTGAAAGCGATCTTTGTGGACCAAGATGCGCTTGGCCTCCTCTTCATCATAGCGCCTGCCAAGCCTGAGAAAGTAGACGCTGAGATCGACGCCACGTGTGGACTCCCTATCCGCATCGAAGGGCCTTCTCCTCAAGCTAGCCAACGTGGACGTTTTCCCCCTTGTTGTGGCACCTAGGGCCATAAGGCGGACTGTCTGCAAGCGGTCGGTGCCCTGCCTGAGAGCAGCCTTGACGATCTCGGGGTCTGCCTCCTCGCGCCTGCGCAGGCCGTGGCTGTCAACGAAAGCGTCGATCATGGCTGCGGCGGTGGCGACAGCGGCGCGGGCGGTGGCGATGGGGCGCCCCTCGCGGCGGCGGTTGACGACGCCGCGGTACTTGCACAGCTCGCGCAGGGCTGCGCGGACGGCGGCCTCGCGCTCGTCGGGCGAGGCGACGAGGCCGAAGAAGGAGTCTGTCTTCCCGCGGTCGTAGAAGCCGTCGCGGAGGAAGATGTTGACGCCGCACTCGTCGGAGCTGTTGAAGAGGTCTGCGTCGCCCCAGCAGCCGGCGCCGAGGCGGTAGAAGAGCGGGATGAGGACGGGGGGTGCGCGGTGGGCGCGGCGGGCGCGCTTGACCCGCGTGCGGAAGGCGGCGAGCTCGCGCAGCGGCCACTCGCGCGCAGCAAACTCCGGGGACAGGACGAAGACGGCGATGGAGGCGGTCGCCAGCGCGGCCGGCATGTCCCGGTGCGGGGCCACGCCCGGCGGGGCGTCGCCCGCGTGGATGAAGGAGGAGATGCGGAACTGGCGCAGCTGGGCGCGCAGCGGGAGCGCGACGGTGTTGCGCTCCGAGTAGGCGTGCGAGATGTACACGGTGTAGTCGGCCGGCGGGTCCACCGCGCGCGAGCGCAGCGAAGACATTTGGCGGACGACTTCCATGGCGGGGTGGGGGAGGCGAGGGAGGCTGGGAGAGGGAGTGGGAATCAGAACGAAACAGGGGATGTGGTGGGGTGGGGGAGGCGAGGGAGGCTGGGAGAGGGAGTGGGAACAAGAACGAAAAAGGGGATGCATTGGGGGGGGGGGGGGGAGGAGGGAGGGAGGGAGAAAAAAAGAAGAATTGGGGCGGCGGATTGGGCACACCTGTGGCAAGCCGGACAGCTTGAATGGGGCTTGGTAAGCAGGACAGCTTGAAGATGACGATGAGTAATGCCTAATGAGGTGGCCGATAAGACGCGCTACAGTACTGCCCCGAGTTGACAGACGGCAGCGAGCGTGTGCGGGCAAGGACGCAAGGGCGGGATGGCGACTGGGTGGTCCACATTGATGCCGCGTTGGACAAGGTGTGGGTGCGGCGGGAGGGAGGGAAGGGTACCGCGTGGCGATTCCGCAGAGCCTCCTTCCCACGGCATTGCCGCGGTGGACTTTTTTGAGTGTAGGATGATCGTACAGTACCGTTGGGTACTGCATACAGCGACGGCATGCGTCAAATCATGTTGCGAATTTGCTTACCTTACAGACATCAACTCGGTCGGAGGGTTGACGGCCGTTAAATTCTGTTTATTTTTCTTACCTCACCGGCCTATTTCTGTGAGATACCACACCTACTGTACTAACTTCAAGCTTTATTACCTTTGCTACCCTGTATCACACTCTGTTATCCGCCCCGGATATCTCCGCGCTGTGCCGCACGCCCCCGCCAACTTCCGATTCAGAACAATACACGTGTCTCCCGCAATTCTGATGACCTTCTCCCTGCAGGCTAGGCGACATTCTACCGCACGGTCGTTTGTTTAACTTAATGTGTACCTTATCATATACATCTTTATTTACAACAGAGCTAAGACCCACGGTAAAGGGTTAAACGGGTTGGGTGTATGTCATATAAATGTGTTTCATACGTCACGAAGCAGAGAGGGGTGGCTCACCTTGCTGGCGTCAGGTAGCCAATCAGATAGCAGGGGCCCCCTTAACGTGCGGTAGAATGTCGCCTAACATCCCTGCACATCCACACCGTGGATGTAAAGTATGGTAACCTTAGGCTGTGAATTTCCGGAGAAACCCTCATCGTTGCTTTCATGTAAGTTACCTTGCTTTATGTGCATTCTACACCAACTACTGTACAGTGCATGATTGCAGCAATTTCTTTTGCACCTGTACACACCCGTTTGCATTTTCCCAGTACGCCGCAATATTTGTTAAAATTTACGACCATCATACTGTCCTCTTGGTAATGCATCTTCGTGATCTAAACGCAAGCATCACTTTCTTGCCTCGTCACCACCAGCCCCCAAAATGATGCACCGTACCCTTGGGTACTGTACCATATCAGATATATTATATCTGTATGTATATACGGTATATATTATACAGTATACCGTATATACATACACTACAGCTGCACTCTCCCCTCGTGCTTCCTAGAGTGTGTCGAGCATTCTCCTCACAAACTTTTGCGACGAAAGAGCCTGGGCAATCGCGAAGGATGTCGCGGTTGCTATAGATTCAGCCGCCCCTTTCGACTTGCCCCTATTTGTAAGTTATAGGGGCGAGAGGGTGATCTTGTGAGTCTGTTTATCTGTGATGCCAAGAACACCGATGCCTCTCTCCTACCCTCTGCCGCGCCCGCCGACGGTCACTTCATTGTATGCGTGCCTGCTGTGCCCTAAAGGCACTGCCTTATCTACAGTGCTGTCTTACCTCTGCATGGAACCACTTTTGTGAGGAATGCGCGGGCGGGCTGCGCTTGATGCCGATCAATTCCGTCGGTGGCTCGGAACTACATTTTTTGCCCCACTAATACTGTAGCGCCATGTTTGTCGATAATCAAGGGCGTGCGTATGGTCTCGGCCCGAGACTCTCGGGGAGGTGCACGTTTGTGAGCATTCTTCGGATCCATTTCGTGTAGTATGTGGCGAGTCAGCCTGCCAAGTATTCTGCTTCACACGTGGATGTTGCGACAGTGGGTTGCCGTGATGATTTCCAAGTGATAGGTGCGTTAAACACTGTATTTACCATTCTTGTCCTTGATTTGCGGTCAGGGCCGGTAGCGCAATCGACGTCGCTACGTATATGTGCGGAGTGCGGAGTGTATGATGCCGATGCTCAGTGATTGCTTTGAACTACAGTATACTGTTTGCCGTGCTTTCATGTGCCATTCAGGTATCTCAGCTACATTTGAAGTTGTGTTGGTGTACGGCTGTTAGACGGTGCATGACGCTTGCTAATTTTCTTACGGCAGTTTGTGTTCTCCTCTTCTCCTGTCTCCTATTTATCTGAGATCTCCAACAGTGGCGAAACTCACTTGTTTGGAGTGGTCTCAGGGGTTCTCTTTGCAAGTCGTCGTCGAATTATCCTTTATATGGTAGTGAAGTTGTGTCGCATTGCATTTATTCCTGTTTTGCTTAGGATTGTGTCAATAGCTGTCGTTTGCGATACGTAGATAATTTTCTCGATTTGTGTTCAAGTTGATATGTTGCTTGGATGACGAGGCGGCTTTTTAGAGAAGATCACTTCTGCGCTTGGCACCATCTCGAGCAGTGTCCCTAGACTGGCAAAGTCTTCTGCCAATATAGCACAGTGCGATGTACCCTCACAGTTCTAGTTACTGTACCTTTGATAACAGAGAGAACGTTTCTCATTGGTCCCATCTACAAAGTCGCTCCTTCTGTGCTGCCCAATTCCCGATGATCTTCAGCAGCAACTAATCTGGTTCTACGCGTAATCCTACCCTTCGGTATGCGCTTTCCGCAAGTCGCGTCCTGCCGGGTCGCCCCAGCATTGCCTCCGCTGAGATCATCGTGAGGCTGCGAGCGCGAAGAGTGTGCGGATCGTTGTGCGGTCGGCCATGTATGTCGCGATTTTATCTGGGTCATAGTGCACGTTGGCCTTCATTCGATCTCCTCTGACCGAGCACCGGGCTTTGCGTGTGGTGTCTGTTGTGGCACTACCGTGTTTGTATCTGTATGTCATCGTGGTCGGTATGATCGTTCTCTTCTTGCTGGGGTGGGTCTGTGCTGACCAGTCGATCGCATTCAATGCGTCGAGTTGGTCCAGCTCCGCATTATGGGCAATTGCCCACTATGGGGCATCCAGGTAACGCCTTGCCTGTTTCAGCGTTTTGGGTGGTGCCGTTGTTCTGTCTACTGTATGAGGGATGGCTCGTGGTCGCGTTTTCTTGCTTGGCTTTGTCTTGCCTTTTGCTGGTTTGGTGTGGCGCTGTGGCTTCCTCTTGTCGTGGATTGGCTTCTTCCTTTGTGCTGTCCTGCCTTTGTGAGTTGCTATCGGTCTCGTCGTTGGCGTGCGTCTAGTATGTTTCGTGTTGTTTGCCTGTTTGCTGGTCTGTGCCCTTTTTGTTTTTTGTGTCGGCGTGTGTTGGCCATTTGGCACTTTGGTCGTGCTGCGCGGGCTCGTTTTGTGGTGCTTTGTGGCTTTGGCTGAGAAGACTGCTGGTCCATGCATGCATAGGTCACTGTGCTGGTGGTACGGCCTGAAGTCCGTTGCCCTGATTTTTGCGTGGCGTCGCGTGCCGATGTTCTGTATGCATATGTGTGTGTCATCGATCCCGTACATGTAGCGTACTGCGTTTGCCTTGTGTTGCAGCTTTGGCGCTTGCGGTTTGAGCACTGGTATGTATCCCGTTTGGCCAAAAGTGAACATTTTTTTGACTTAGGGAAGTGTGTCGTGTGGGATAGCTCCTCTCCGCCCTGGGTTGGGTTAGAGGCGGAGGCTTTAGTGAGGAAGCACGCAGCGCGGACGCGACGCGCCAATTGAACCGATCGGACGAGCTCGCGAAAAGGGAGTGGCTCACTGGCCGGTTACGCGCAGTCGCCCCGTGGTCCGTGATCGGGAGCGACCGGTAACGGGTTAGAAGCCAGCGCGCGCGACAGACAACCGAAAACGGACGTACGTAGGCGCAAAAGGGACGGGGGCGAGCTTGCCCCAGTTTACTGGTGAGGACGGGTGTCAGGTCTTAACCCCTCAGAGGGACGCCTCGGACACCTGTCCCAGTGTACAGTACCTGCCGCCTAGTGCGTACCAGGTACTGTACGCAATTAAAAATCTAGCGCCTCAATTCCTAATTACCGCGCGGACGCTGCAGGTACACGTGTGTACTACTGTACACACGCGCTGCTTACAGACTACCGCACGGATGCCACGTGTGCTAGCGTACACGCGTAATACTAGCAAACTACCGCTTGGCCGACACGTGCACTACTGTACACGTACGCCAGATTACGACCACTCGGCACGAGCGCGCTCCCTACACGTGGGCACACCCGCCCACGTGCACACCGTGCACGGCCGCACGGATAATAATCTCCCCGCGCGCGCGTCCGTCGTTATACTACAGACCCCCTTCCTTAGCTTTCGCTACGTCCTCGTAGCGACCACCCATCCGACCACGGAGTTCCGTTCCGGTTTGTCTTCTCCCCTGCGCGCGCGAACGACCATGCCTCCTAGCTCTTCTTTAAGCGGGCGCTCTGTAAGCCTGCTGTCTCGTCCGATTCGGTAAGCGTGTCCTTTACTTCCCTTCACGCGAAGCCCGCCGAACCCTCAACTCACTCTCCTCACTCTCCTCACTCTCCTGCGCGCGCTGCCTCCTCCTCCCGCGACGGCATCCCCCTACAGTAGCTCCTGCCGCATCCGAGAACGGTCGACCGCGAGAGTCCTGCTGCAGCGCCTTCGTACAGTGCGCGGTCGAGCCCTGCGGGGGCTCCGGCGTCGGCGCAAGCGCCTCCCGCGTCCCAACTACAACGTCGCCTCTGCGGAGAGCCGCGATCGGCCCCCGAGTTGGCCGGGCCCGCGCTCGCGTCCGTCGATTCGTCCGATTCGGTCAAGCGACGGCCGCATGGCGCGCACGCAACGCAGCGCTCGCCGCGGCCCTCTGGAGGGCCGGGCGAGGGTGGAAGGACGGCTGTGCCTTGCCCCCCCGCACACGGGCGAGACGCGAGCTCCGTGTGGACGGTCGGGGTAATTTCCCTTTGTCAACCACCCTCCCAGAGGGCTGGCCAATTTGTAAAGAATCTGCGTTCATTTGCCATCCCAAGAGCGGCGCGAGCGGCGCACCCGCCGTAGTACGGCACCACACGGTAGTTTCACGCGTCTCTCTTGCGGTAGCGGCCTCTATTGCGCCAACACCGATCCAAAAACCGTACGGAGCGCCCTCTTTCCACCAGCCCGAATTAGAAACTGAAAGAAACGATAAGAAACGATAAGAAACGGTAAGAAACCGGAAGAAACCGGAAGAAACCGGAAGAAACCGATTTGGTTTCCAAATATGGCCGAATGCGGTTTTCCCGAGGCAACACTACCGGACGCGGAATTCTCCCAGGAGTACGATGCCGTTGTCATAAACGGGCTACGAATTTTTCCCGCAGCGTGGGAGGGAAAAACGTAGCCCAAATCGCGACTAAACTAAAAAGCCGGCGAACGCGATACATCTCAATACAAAGTACCGGTTCCCGGTACGGTTCTCCTTTTCCATAGGCGCGTGCGAGCGCGATCATCCGAACGGTGCGGCCAAGTGTGGCTAATAGCTATCCGCGTGGACGCTTGGGAGAACTTCGGATTGTGGACCACCCTCCCGGAGGGTTGGCCAATTTTGGAAGCATCTGCATCCATTTGCGCGGGATCCATCCGGTACGAGCTGCCTCGCGGTGCGCAGTCACACGCGGCTGGCTGCTGGGGCTGCATAGCACGTGCGCGGCTTGTTTTTCTCAGGGGCTTTTGCGCGAGGGAGCGTCCGAGCGGTGCGACCGAGGGCGGCCGAAACTTGCGCTACGCATGCACGCTTGATCCTTGTTGGCGCGAGCGCCAATACCGGTCGATAGACGGCTGCGGAAGCCCATCGGCGGGCTCGTAGGTGTCGTCCGAAGCGGTATATCTATACCACCGGACCTTGTAGTCGATCCCGCCGCGCGTAGTACGGTGTCCGACAATGCGGTCAACGACGTACTCCGCTCTTGGCGTTGCGGCTTGTGCGTCCGATTCGGTTGATGTGGCCGGGGTGACGGTATCCCCCCGCCCGCGCGGCATCTTCGTAACGCGGTCGATGCTCACGCGATTTTCCACGCCGTCCTGCTGGATGAGGACCGTGGTGTCCGTAGCGGAGCGCACGCGAAACGGACCCTCTGTCTTCGGTAGTAGTTTGACAGAGAGCTCGTCCGTTCCGGCCGTACCTTGCGCACGCGTGCGGCGCTCGACGCTTGTCAACGGGCGGGGCGGGCGATCGACGTAGACAAAATCGCCCGCCACAATAACCGGACGGAAGCGGACCTTCTTGTCAAAATCGTCCTTGTACCGCTTTTGCGATGCGGTTAATTTCGTCCGAGCGCGGTCGAGAGCGTCGCGAAGCTTGCGCAGCGTAGCGCGCTTGTACTGCACCGGGGTCCGCGGGTCCTCTCGATGGGTCCCTGCGTCCTGCGGCACAGTACCGGGGAGGATTAAACCGGACGGTGGCCGCGTTAACACCAGGTCGAACAAAGTCGTCTCCGTCGACCGGTGGACCTGCGTATTGTACGCGAAGGTCAGCGGCTGCACGTAGTCGTCCCAATCGCGCTGGTGCTCCTCCACGTAGTGCCGGAGGCGTTGCACCAGCGTGCGATTGAACCGTTCGGTCTGCCCATTCGACTGGGGGTGGTAGGCCGTCGTGAGATAATGCCGCACCCCCAGGAGGGCGCATACCGCGTCGAAGAATTTCGCAGCGAACTGAGGACTATTGTCGGTTAGTACGTAGCGGGGGGCTCCTTAGACGTAGACCCAGTTGTCCAAAACCCCGTTTGCGACGACCGAAGCGGTTGTGGTCCGGAGCGGGATACTGCGCGTTAGCTTAGAGAACCGGTCGGTAATTACCAACACGTGTTGGTTTCCGTGCGCGGTCTTGGGCAGGGGCCCCAGGAGGTCCATCACGACAAACTCCAAGGGGCCCGCCGCGGGGAACAGCTTGAGATCCTTTTGGTTCTTGACAAGAAGCGTCCCGCGGGTCGCAGCACACGAGGTGCAATTCCGTACGGTCG